ATTCAGATCGAAAAATTCAAGTTAAATATTCACATGGTAACATCCGGGCTACCCAGGATAGGCCACGCCCACACCGGGGGGAAAACAATCCAACCGTCTCTATTGATTTGCATTGCGAGAGGCTGCCTCCTTGTCATTTATGACTTATAACAAAAAACAAAACAATGTCTAAAAGCTGTTGTGAGACAAGGTGTACAGCAAACAAGCTAAATAACCCAGAAATGATTTTTTATACGCTGTCGACCCCAAAAACGGTTTGTTTTCAGGACATAAAAGTGGATCAATTGAGAAAGAGCGCAACTATTTCTCGAACTACTCTGAGAGAACTACGCCCACTGAAAACGCGACATGATATTGTAAAAAAAAAAAAAAATTATTCATAATTTTAACCATGTCGATTGCTTATTTCACCACCCTATGTGAACCTGAGAAGAGGAGATATATTAAATGTACACCCATTCTTCCTGCTGATGTTCAGAAGCTTATAAAACTGTATTTCTGGTGTGTTTTTTTTTTAGCTTATTTGCTGTACACATTGTCACACAGCAGCTTTTATGCATTTTTCTGTCTTTTGTTATATGTTATAAGGAGGCAGCCTCTCGCAATGCAAAGTCAATGGAGACGGTTGGATTGTTTTGCCCCGTGTGGGCGTGGCTTAAATACGCTCTGTCTCTACACAGGCTCAGCTGTTTTTCCTATCCTGGGTATAGCCCGGATGTTCCCATGTGAATATTTAACTTGAATTTTTCGATCTGAATTTGAGCAGTCGAATTTGAGATCTGAATTTGAGCAGTCGAATTTGAGATCTGAATTTGAGCAGTCGAATTTGATCAACCTGAATCTATTTTATCTGAAATTCTGTAAGTTGATTTTTTTTTGTATCTGAATTTGTGAGCATTGAAAAATATTAAAATTGAAATTCAAGTTTTTAAACAAAACAAATAAATTCAGATACATGGTTTCCAAAGTAAAATAATTTCAAAGGGGTGAATTCAGAGCAAATAAATTCAGATAAATGTTTTTCAAAATAAAATATTTCAAAACTAAGTATTCAGTGGCTGTTAAATTTCAAATAGTTATGTCTCTTATTTGCTTCCATAGTACGCCTCTCTTCCAAATGTGAAATCTATACATCGCAAATGATCTTAAAATGTTGCGCAGCTGAATGATTTCAGATTTCCACCTTGTAAATGCCACCTAATTAATATAATTAACTTTTCCACTTCAAAGACCATTTTTATAAATATGAACGTTGACGTGGATTTCAACACTCTAAGTTGAAATCTGCCCAGACAGCAACATAGTGTCGGCCCAGATCCGGCCCACATCTGGTATGCGTTAAATCCACATGTACCAGATGTGGCCCAGATCCAGAGGTGGACAGTAACAAAGTACATTTACTTACTGTACTGTACTTAAGTACACTTTTTGAGTATCTGTACTTGAGTATTATTTTTTCTGGAAACTTTTTACTTTAACTTCACTACATTTGAAAGACCAATATCGTACTTTTTACTCCACTACATTTCTGTCAAGGTCCTTGGGTAGAAAGTAGTAACGTCAGTCAGGGGATGATTTTGGTTGCAGGGGTTGCATTTTGGTTGGAAATGAAAGTCGGGTTGACGTCAGAACCCGACGTCAGATTGACGTCAACATCCAATGATGGATGTTGGTTTCTGACATCAACCCGATTTTCATTTTCAACCACAATACAACGCCTGTCCAACGTTGGAGATTAATGTCAATCTGACGTTGGATTTGGTCTTCTAAATGCAAATTTTGTCATTGTTTTAGAGCACACTATCTTATAGATAACAGTAAGGTTAACATATTCATACTAAAAGACTAACATTTTTTTAAAATAGGGCACTATTTGAGGGAACAACCATTTGGGTGTCTGAAACCATTGTGGACGTTATTGAGTGCACTTATTCAATCTCACATTCAATCCCACTACTGGAACTGTGTTCTAGAAATAAATTTGATATTGATATGAGGGCAGGCATAGATTCAGAGGCATAAGGTACTGTAAGTATTACATACAACAATGCATTGACATTTACTTTTTACTAACTCTTTTAAGTACTTCTGTACTTTTACTTGAATAAAAATCGATCTTTACGACTTACTTGTAACGGAGTAATGTTTGACCAGTAGTATCTGTAGTTTCACTCAAGTAAGGAAGTTGTGTACTTTGTCCACCTCTGCCCGGATCTGGGCTGACACTATGTTTCTGTCTGGGTGTGCTGTGCATATGTTTTTATAAATGAGGCCCATAAAGTCGTGTGAGAAGATAAAAATGCAAAATTGTGTGATAAAGCCACAATTATGAGATATTATGTGATTGCAATTACGAGAAATGAAAGTCACAATTACAAGAAACTATAAGTTTGTGGTCCTTTGCCTGTCTTGTTCCCTTCTCTCTCCTCCCAATTTTTTTCCTGTCTCATCTACACTGTCCTATATAATAAACCAAACAAACAGATAAATCTTTTGAAATCTTAATTATGCCAAGGAAATAACTCAGGATTCGGTCATGAATGCAGTTCAACAGTTTATTTAATAAACAGTAAATAATCAGAGAGATGGAGTCAGGTGTCATGGGTTGAAAATGGAGAACTGTAGGCCTTGGCAGAGAGGAGACTGCAATGGGCCGAGCGTCGTCTGCTGATCGGTAAATCCAGCAAGTAGCCTAATCCAGCAAACAGTGAGGCAGAAAAAATCCAGAACAGGAAGCAAACACACTGGCACAGAGAACTGACAACAAACTGAACAGAGAGAACCAGCAGACATGAGCACCACAACGATCTGACAAAAGACAAGAGCAAACACACGGGATATAAAGGCAAGACTGATGAGCTTCAGGTGCGCTGAGCTGATTAGCTCATCAGAAGATTGGCGTTTCCCAGCAAATTTTTTTTTACGAATTAACGAATGTATTTATTTATAATACAGTTTTCTCTTGTTTTTCTACATGAATTTTTTTGTAATATTTAAATGGATGTATGTATGTATTTATTATATAGCTTTCTCTACTATTACAGTAAACTGATTCTTACATGGGAAATATAAATGTAAATATTGAAATTTATGTACTTTATGTATTTATAACTCTCTCTGCTATTAAACTAGCAAAAAACATTTTATTTATTTATTGCTATTGTGATTTTAACATTTAAAAAGTTATAATAATTATATAATTAATGTATTGATTCTTACATCATTCATTTGTATTAAATAAAGTTTCACATCTTTTATGTCTTTTAAAATAGTCTGTTTTCTATTTTTCCCCAGCTGAGGATGCTTGTCAGGATAAAGCGACAGCCAACTGTGCCCTTGTCCTGCGGGTGAAGTTGTGCACTCACTGGTACTACAGGAAGGCCTGCTGTCTGTCCTGCAGGAACAAGAGCCAGTAGAGTCTGTCTGGCTCTTCACTGTGGCCTGGCAGTTAATGTGAAGACCCTCCTCCCTATACTGGACGCACTGAACCCAGAACTTTACCAGTCCAGCCCTCCAACCCTCATTGCTGTCACTCTACCCCTCCTTAAAGAAAGGTGCTATATCAAAAGGGTACTGGCCCTTAAGTGGTCCCAGGAAAGGCAGCTCCTGTAACTGGACTGCGGAGGAGCCGTGGGTCTACTGATGATAGAGACACACTGTCCTCTGATCAAACAACTGTACAGGCTCCTCCTGTGTACTGTAGAAGCCTTGATTCTGCTCTTACATACTTCTAAACACATTGTATGATATGTATGTACAAAGTTTTTTTGTTTTGTTTTTGTTTGTATTTTGTGTCCACTTTTGGACTGGAAGAAGAAATAAAACTAAAGCGGATTTGAGATCTGGGCTGTCTTTTTTTCATACATCCAGACTCTTGTGTTCACCCATACTGTAAACATTCATGCTTTTGTAACTAACCTGTAAAATACACTCTTGCAGAAGTAAAATGAATGAGAGCAAATGTACTGAACTAAGTGGACTCTCAAATTGCTAGAAAATCAAAGCCCTATGTCTAACCAAGTTGTTGATTAAAAATAAGCCCGTTTTCATGTAAGGCAATGTCTTATTTCAAGTTTTGAGTGTTTAAGCTTTCACATGATACCTAATTTATGATGATTACTAAAATATCTGATAGGAAAAAAGTGCACCATGTCCCACTACCGAGACACTGACATTTAAAGGAACACTCCGACTTTTTGGGACTTTAGCCTATTCACCTTATCCCCCAGAGTTAGATAAGTCCATACATACCTTTTTCATCTCCGTGCGTGCTGTAACTCTATCTGACGCACCCACCGCTAGCCTAGCTTAGCACAAAGACTGGATGTAAATGGTTGCAGCTAGCATACTAATCCCAATAAGTGACAAAATAGCGCAAACATTTTCCTATTTACATGTTGTGATTTGTATAGTCACAGAGTGTACAAAAAACAAAGTCACATGAGACACAGACATATTTTAAATACTGGGAACTATATTCTCTGAAGGCGAAGCACTGCTACTTGGGCGGAGTGATAACCGCAGCACCTGAGACGCGCCGTGGTGAGTAGCAGAGAGCGCGTCTCAGGTGCTGCGGTTATCACTCCGCCCAAGTAGCAGTGCTTCGCCTTCAGAGAATATAGTTCCCAGTATTTATACGGTTAGGGTTAAAATATGTCTGTGTCTCATGTGACTTTGTTTTTTTTGTACACTCTGTGACTATACAAATCACAACATGTAAATAGAAAAATGTTTGCGTTATTTTGTCACTTATTTGGATTAGTATGCTAGCTGCAACCATTTACATCCAGTCTTTGTGCTAAGCTAGGCTAGCGGTGGGTGCGTCAAACAGACTTATAGCACGCACGGAGATGAAAAAGGTATGTATGGACTTATCTAACTCTGGGGGATAAGGTGAATAGGCTAAAGTCCCAAAAAGTCGAAGTGTTCCTTTAACAGGCTACATAAGTCTTAACATTTGATACAAGCTTCATTATATACTGTAAATATAAATATGACAGTAGGGTATAATGAGGCTTTTATGTTGCCCTATTAAAAGAAAAAATATTTATATTACAATATCAGCATATCATTGAAAAATGTAATATATTTTGAGACCATAAAAATAGCTTTTTTAACACCATTGTACTTCAACAATATAAACCTGTTTGAATTTTAAACTAAAAGCCTATAAAAACTGATTGGATTAAGGATTTTGTCCAGTTTTTTTTTAAATAATTGCCAGCAGAGGTAGAAAAAGAAGACACCATGTGAGAGATATTGATGGACTATCATCAGTTGTTTGGTTGGGTGTGGAGACTGTCGCATTGGTTGTGGAGACTGTTGCGTTGGTTGCGGAGACTGTCACTTTGGTTGTGGAGACTGTTGCGTTGGTTGCGGAGACTGTCACTTTGGTTGTGGAGACTGTCACTCTGGTTGTGGTGACTGTCACGTTCGGTGGGGAGACTGTCATGTTTGGAGGATTTGTTGCCAGAAATCTAACAGAATCACTTTGAACACCAACCCAGAAGAGAGAGAAATTCTGCACAAATGTTGCCCTGCAAAAAACAATTAAATCCATTTACATTTGCAATGACAGCAGGAAGAAGCAGTTAACTGAAAAAAGCACTTCATATCATAATTATTTGTTGAAAGCATCTTTCAGTGTGTCATTTCAAAGGTAACGAGGCAAGGGAAGTGAAAATCCTCAATTGCTGCATTATGAATGCAATGTTTAAAAATGCTTGAAATATGATTAATCACTTGAAATATGATTAAATTGCTTATCACTTTTGTCCAATAGGTGCCGCTGTAACCAAATTGATGTTGTGTGGTTAGTGTGAGGAGACAATGACATGTACAAAGTCTGGTGTCAATATGCCAAAGCGTTGCAGAGATACAGCCTCAGAATCAGATTGGCACCATGCCAACAATTTCGTTGATGTTTATTCAAGGACGGTTTGTTCAACCAAAAAGCTTGTAATAGCATTTGGCCAGCATGGTCTAAATATGATCTGAGAATATATCTGTATTTATTTTTGAAAATCAGACCAACAATTTAGGATGAGTTCAAAAAGTAAATTCAAAATGGCGGACAGCAAGTTCGATCGGTATGACGCAAGGAATCTACCAAGACCAGTTTCATTAAAATAGGCAAAATTAATCAAAAGCTTTTAGCATTATTTGAAATTTCATTATAATTGGTGAACCTTTTTGAGAACCTTCAGGACATGGTCCTTATGACACATAATGAGTTTCATAACGATACACTAATGTGTTCAGAAAATAAAGCATTTTATGACAATCCTCAAAATGGCCAATGCCCAAAATTGCTGCTATGGGAAAATCGTTTGACTCTGTATTCTGCAGTGAATTAAAGGGGAGAAATTTTATGTTATTTGGGCAAACTGTATAAGTAAACTTAGCCATTTTTTCAGATGAACCCTATTGGACAAGTTCGAAAAAGGTTTCTCAGAAAATTCCAAATAGCAGAAGAATTTTCATGACAGGAAATTAAATCATTTGCATGACGTGCAATCGAATCTTCTTGAGCCAATCAGAGGAAAAACTTTTTTTTTTTTTTTTTACTAGCCTTACAGTTCAAAAGTTATTAGCGTAAACGTAAGTCAGTTGGTGCTTGAGGGATTGAGTTAGAGAATCCAGAATTGCCGTGGTTAATGTTGAGACTGTCCTTTATCAGTGTGCCAAATTTCATAATTTTCCCTCAAGCGGTTCTATGAGTTGCCATAGACTCAAGAGCAGAAGAAGAAGAAGAAGAAGAAGAAGAAGAAGAAGAAGAAGAAGAAGAAGAAGGAGGAACACTAACAGATACAATAGGTGCCTACACACCTTTGGTGCTTGGCCTCTAATAAGTTTTACCTGAAGTGAATATCTGTGTTGTTACTGTTGGGAGCTTTCCACTGAGCCACAATAGTTGATTTGACATCATTTAAAGTATGACTGACAGCTGAGCCCTGAAAGACAGAGTATGCTGGTTCACATCAACAAGTACAATCCTATCTTCATTCCTTCTTTGCTATATGTATGTATCCAGTCACTTTAAGCTATAATTATGTAATGCAAGGCCAAAACTTCTTTACTGAAGGAAGCTTCCCAAAGTCATAGAGGTTTGGAATGACATGAGGGTGAGCAAATGACAGGAATGTTCACTGTTCCTTTACCTCTGTTCCACAGGAGAGTAATTGAGTATTGTTTCCTATGACTGTGAAAGTTCCTACTGGACCCTTCTCATTCCTGGCCTGAAGAAGAAAGCCCTTGAATCCAGTGTTATTTGCTTGTAGTGTCACTGACAATAAAACAGTGATGTTAACTGTGAACTTGAGGGAAACTGACACATACATCCAATACAAAAGATTACAAGACTCCACACTGAAAAAAAAAAATCATCAAAATAATTTAATTTCAACTTGTTTTTGTTTACGAGATCCAACTTGATTTCTTTAAGTTTAGTATAATTTAAGTTTAAATTAGTTGTACAGCCAATTTGATATAAAAAAAGATTTCTTTATAGTGTTGCTTAAAAATCATTGCCAAAAAAGGTTAGTAAAAGTGGTAACACTTTGCAATAAAGTTCATTAGTAACATTATGAACTTAGTTAACATGAAGAATGACCATACTTCTTCAGCATTAATTAATCTTAGTTAATATTAATTTCAACATTTACTAATACATTATTAAAATTAAAATCAAAGGTTGTATTTGTTAACATTAGTTAATGCACTGTGAACTAACATGAACAAACAATGAACAGCTGGATTTTTTTTTTTTTACTAACTAATACTAACAAAGATTAATAAATATTGTAACAAATGTATTGCTCATTGTCAGGTCATGGTAGTTAATACATTAACTAATGTTAACTAATGAACATTATTGTAAAGTGTTACCGCAAAAGTGGTTATTTCTGAGAAAAGCATGTGTTTGCAGATTGTGTTTAATGAAATGTAATTTATACATGTTTTTATAGATGAATGGCTGTCACTAACCTGTGATCACCTGACCATCTGTGTAGTTTGAGGCGTCTGAGGTGACAGTATATGGAGGTTCTAATGTAGAGTTTAAGTTAGTCCCATGTCCAGGAGTCATAGACATGCATGCCACAGTTACCTGTCCATTTCTGAATGCCGTTACAGCATGAAGATTTAGCCCAAAAACCAGGATGAGAAACTGTACATGCATCTAAAACAGGATAAATCAAAAAGATGGATTTTCAATTTTAATAGCATATAGATAACATATATAAATATTCCAAATGACAATTATCGACATTTTAATGAAAACAATAAAGTTAAGTGCACTATTTTTGTAGCATTAAATATTTTAACCAAGAGTTACCAACCTTGACAAAACCAAACAGCAATGTTGTGTTGCTTTCCAGAAAATGTCACTGATTTGTGTCAGGAAGAGGAGGGATTTATCATTTATATGTTCTTGATAACAGGAGTGTAAATGTGTAAATGTGTAAATTCTTATTG